TATAGACTCAAAAAGATGAGATATAATCTCAGAATTCTAAGAATAAAAGTCTGAACTGGTTTTACACACAGACATGTCATGTCAGTTACTCATGTGTTGATGTAAACTGCTAATCACTGCAGTAACCGGCATCATCCCATCTCTGTTGAAGGGTTTGAGCTCTGAATGCTCTGTGATTGTAGTCATGGTAACCAGCCCTAGCCGGTTTAAACAATTCATTTGTGCGACTCTATCTCTCAGCATCAGTGATGATGAACCTTTTGACCCTGAGATATTTCTGGTAGTTCTGCTGTAATGACATCAAATCAAATTCATTTCTATAGTTCTTTTCACCATACATATTGTTTTAAAGCAGCTTTACAGAAAATCATGATGTTAATGTTTATAATATATTAATATCTTCATGCCTTCAAGTCATAAAGTTTACATAGCACTGTAGAATATATTAAAGTTGACTAGTATACTATATATATATAACTTTAAAATTATATATTAAGATGATGATATATATTCCCTCATACATTATATCCAGGTTGTCAAAGATCATGAGAACCCTGGTTATTAAATAAAAATTCCATTTGAATAAATTAAAATGAGTAATGATTTCCGCTCTTGAGTTTCACCTGTTTGAGCTTCTTGTTTTGTCTCATTTTCTGTTGTTTGAAGCCGTATGAGACTATTAGTGAAACACTCTCAGGGTTTAAAGGTCAGGCTTTCAGAAACTAAAAGTCAAAAACATCAAATCAAGACTGAAATAACACTTGTCCTATCAAAAAATAATGATTAATGACTTTCCTTTAAAGTTCTCAACAGTTCATCTTTGTAAATGTACAGTAAGTGTGTTTTATTTTACATGATTATCAGCAGTTTGCTGATTCTGTGATGTTTTATGATTATCGTCATCGTCTGTACTGTAAGGATGATGATGATGATGATGATGATGATGATGATGAACACACACGACTCAAGTGCAGGATGAATGGTTCTTTCTTTTAATAATAAAATTAAACAAAAACAAACAAACAACCTCGAGGGGGAAAAACTGACAGGCAGGCTAGGAACTGCACTACATGCAGACATAACACACACACACACACAATGAAAAACGACGGATCAGCACAGGATTCCAGACACCAGGAGAATAAATAGGAAACCAAATGAGGAGGCTAGCGAGGGAGACACAGGTGGAGCAACTTAAACAATAATGAGGTAACAAGATGGGCGGGGCAAGACAATAGACAGGAGAGAGCACATGGCAACAAACAAACACAACACAAGCCATGTGCTCACAGAACACAGTCATCTGGTGGCCATCCTGGGCACACCCGCTGAAGACTGTGACAGAACCCCTCCCCTAAGGAGCGGATTCCAGACGCTCCACCAAAAGAAATCCCGGAGGGAGGTGGAACGGAGGCGGATCAGGGGGAGGGACGGTGGGCCAGGCCCGTGTAGTGGAAGAGGGCCTGGAGATAGAGGTAAACCAGGGTGCCAGGGCGGGACCGGCAGGGCAGGAGGCCAGGGAGGGGCCGGCAGCAAGAGCGGAGCCTGCCTCAAGGAGGGAGCCGGCAGGGCAAGCCGCTGGGGTAGAGCTGACATAAAGGGTGGAGCTGGCAGAGAGCGGAGCCGACAGGGCATGAAGCTTGGGCGGAGCCGACAGGGCATGGAGCCTGAGCTTGGGCAGAGCCGGTAGGGCATGGAGCTTGAGCTTGGGCGGAGCCGGCATGGCCTGGAGCTTGAGCTTGGGTGGAGCCGGCAGGGCCTGGAGCTTGAGCTTGGGCGGAGCCGGCAGGGCCTGGAGCTTGAGCTTGGGCGGAGCTGGCAGGGCATGGAGCTTGAGCTTGGGCGGAGCCGGCAGGGCATGGAGCCTGAGCTTGGGCGGAGCCGGCAGGGCAAGGAGCTTGGGCGACGCCGGCAGGGCACCAGGCTCTAGGAAGGCCTCCCGGGCTTGAAGGACGGAAGAAGCCTTCTTCCTCCTCCTCCTCCGTTTCCGAGAGGGTAGCACTGCAGCTTCGTCTGCTGCCTCCGGGGGCACTGCCGCTTCGGGGAAACTGTGAGCGGGCACCGCCGCCTCGGGGAAACCGTGAGCGGGCGCCGCCGCCTCGGGGGAACCGTGAGCGGGCGCTGCCGCCTCGGGGGAACGTGCCAAGAACTCCACAAACCCCTCAAAGGATACATGATCGGATCCTAACATGCTCCAGTGACTAATGGGCTCATCAAGGGCATAATTGAATAAGTCCTTTAGCGCGGAGTCATTGTAGCCCAGCCCCTCTGAGGCATTCCTAAATTCCCCGGCAAACTCCCTCAGATCAGTCCCTCATTGACGGAGGGAGCTCAAGGTATCCAGCTGGAGCATGCGCTGGTAGAGGGGGCTGGAGAGAGTGGAGACCGGTAGATGGAGTGAGCCATTTCTCCGCTGAGTCCTCATACAGACACCAGGAGAATAAATAGGAAACCAAATGAGGAGGCTAGCGAGGGAGACACAGGTGGAGCAACTTAAACAATAATGAGGTAACAAGATGGGCGGGGCAAGACAATAGACAGGAGAGAGCACATGGCACCAAACAAACACAACACAAGCCATGTGCTCACAGAAACCAGTGTCATCTGGTGGCCATCCTGGGCACACCCGCTGAAGACTGTGACAGATATTTTACCCTTATATAATATTCCAGGTCAATTTGAACCACAGTTTTACAGATACACTTTGTAAAATGTTTCAATGTTTATTTCTTAATTTAATTTAATTTAATTTAATTTTTATTTAATTTAATTTTATTTAATTTTATTTTTTTATTTTTTATTTTTTTTATTTTATTTAGTATTGTGTGAGAAATGTTTGTTAAAGGTTTACTTTTTTTCATAGTGTGATTTTTGGTGAATTGCACTCAGAATTGAATGATTGTATCCAGAATTTTACCATAGGCGTTCAAATGCGTGACTGGCTCTGAAAGCATCATGAGATCATTTCTGAACGCACTGTTCCTGAGTGTCGTCTTTGGCAGGTCTGATGTGAGCTGAATGATCTGAGATCACTCTTGATTTGATTAGCAGGGGTCTGGAGCGGCTCTCGTGTGTCTCGGGAGACGCTGCTGTTGTCTGGAAACAAACACACGGAGCTTCAGTATGACGAGGACGCAAAGCCTTATTCAGCAGCCCAAGAGACAAATGTTGGATCTGCTCGTGATGCTCGCCATTGTCAGTGTGCTGGATGTGTGTCTTGTGTTGTGGATGGGTATAAGTATGGTGAATTAGGGTGATCTGTTTGCTCCTTTGACATCTGCAGATTAACACACGACAACCCAGACTTGCAGAAATACTGGGTTTTATATATGCAATGTTCACATGTAGCTTTGGTCAAATTTCATCATAATTAGCCCTATTTAACTCTCTTCATACAGTTTTCCTTATTATAATTCTTCTACAAAAGAAAGATCATCTGATGCACTATATATTTTTTTGGGGTTGCATTCCAAAAAAAATCCACAAGCTTTCTGAAAGCTTCAACATTATAATATAAAATCTGTATAAAAGAGCATCAAGCACACTGGGAATATGTACTGTACAATGGGGAATTATTTCCTCATCATACATATAACCATTTTAGCCGGTCCAACAATAAAATTATGTTGCATTTTGTTTTAATTTAGCACAAAAACAACTCTTCCATTTGTTAAAAAATCTTCTTAAACCTGTGCTGGTCTTGACAAGCTGACCAGCTGAAAACTGCCCAAAACCCCTCTAAAACCAGCTCAAGCTGTGAGGGCTTAGGCTGGTTTCAGCTGTTTTTTTTCAGCCAAGTTTTGTATTTTAAGAAAAAAAATCCTTAGAAAAATAGAACAGGTGCTGAAATATTTCTCAGTTAAATTTACAGGTTAATTTCCTTTAACCATAAAATTCAACATAATGAAATGCATAATTCAAAATACGGGTAAGAGGCCAGTGAAAATCAATAAGGGAAATATTAACACAGTACATTGGGACCTTTTTTATGGACTTTTCTTAGAATTAAAGAGGAAACGTCTCAATACAAACCAAATGATTTAAATGTGCAATAAATGTGCAAATTAAAAGAAAAAGTGTAAATTAAAAAAAAAAAATCTGTCAATTTATTATTTATTTATTTATTGAATTTTTTTTTTTTTTTTTTTTTGGCGCAAAATTGCATAATTTGTGCTGTGCTGGTTTTAACTGGTTTGACAAGCTGGTCTTCCAGCCTGATTAGAACCAAAACCCTCTTAAACCAGCTAACAGATCAGACTGGTTTAAGATGTGCTTTCAGCAGATAAACTATAAACCAAACAAATTAAATATGCAATAAAAGTGCCAAACATGTACATTACAAATTCTTACTTATTCTTACAGTTTAACTGAATAAATCTGATTTTACAGTGCTTGGAAATCAAGCAGGTGCGACCAGCTAATAAAACCATCATAAGCAATTACAGAAAGGGCATTTATCTATTAAATCTGGATTTGGAAACAAACATCACTTATGGCTATAAGGTCAGTGTCCTATGCTTGCCTTTGAAAACCCCAAACAGGTCATGCAATATAAGTGCAAATTAAAAAAATTTAAAACATTCCTAACCTGCTGTTAAATAAAGAAATAAATCGGCCTAATCAGGCTATAGGCTGGTTTCAGAGGGTTTTGAGATCAAGCAGGGTGACCAGCTAATTAAACCATAGAAAGAGCAGTTATCCATTAAATCTGGATTTAAAATAAAAGCAAACATCATTTATGGCTATAAGGTCCTGCTTGTCTTGGAAACCCAAACAGGACTAATAACCTTCTCAACACCAAAACTAGCTCTCCAGGGAGAGTCAAACCTTTGTAGAGAGAGAGAGTGAAGAGGGAGGGTGTGTGTGTGTGTGTGTTAGAGAGAGAGTGTGTGTGACAGAGAGAGAGAGAGAGAGAGAGAGAGAGAGAGAGAGAGAGAGAGAGAGAAATAGAGAGAAACAGAGAGAGAGGTAGGCTGCAGATCGTCTTCGCGTAGCTATTGGCTTCATGTTCCTCCGCACGCCTTCCGCGCCGCGCACCTCTAGCGCACAGTGATGCTCGCACCTGAAGACCCGCAGCATCAGCACCAGCGGATCTCCATGACGACAGCAGCACCTCCAGCATGGTGCAGAAATCCCGCAACGGCGGCATGTATCCCGCCCCGCAGGCCGAGAAGAAGCTGAAGGTGGGCTTCGTGGGGCTCGAGGCGGGCGCGACGGAATCGAGCCGAGACGGCGCGCTGCTGATCGCGGGCGCGGAGGCGACGAAGCGCGGCAGCATCTTGAGCAAACAGCGCTCCAGCATCTCCGGGAAGAGGCCGCCGAAGCGCAACGCGTTCTACCGACGCCTGCAGAATTTCCTCTACAATGTTCTGGAGAGACCGCGCGGATGGGCGTTCATCTACCACGCTTACGTGTGAGTACCATCAAAACAAAGAGCTTCTGGGGGCTCACTGGCATCACCTCGCTTTTGCTCGTGCATTTGATGAGATGCTTACAGGGTGGCGGGAGAAGAGGGGCTGCATTTTATATCACTCCAACAAAAGGGTCCTTTGTGTTTCTTTAACATTAGTGTTCGGTTTAGAGCCTGATCTGTCCAAAGAACCCTTTAATGATCATTGTGTTCATTTTGGATCATTCCTTGTAGAAAAGCGCTTCACATGTTTACAGTGTGGCAGGATTGTTCTAGTAGTAGAACATGATGTGACTTTTCCTCTGTCTGTTCTATTACTCCCAAAAAAGCTAAAAAGCTTTAGATGAATATCTGCCCAAGCAAAGAGCTTTTATATACTGCAGTGAATCGTTCTGTTTGGGACTTTAGGCTCTTGTTTTTCATGTCAGTGAACTGTTATCTGCTGCATTTCTGTTGTGCGTGTCATGCATTTTGCAGAAGTTATGGCAAGAGAAGATGGTGCAATTCCTTCCGGCTGCTGATTATATCATTCGAAAATGATTGAAGCAATAGTACAATTTTAATGGCATTAATAGTTCAGTTTAGAGCCGGATTAATGATCATTGTGTTGAGGCTTAATGTTCCTTCCTCTTCTGTTCCTTGTGGAAACGCGCTTAATTTTTAACATATTGAGTGGCAGGATTGATATAGTAGAAGATGATGTGACTTTTCTTCTGCTAGTTTAATATATCACTCTAAATACGCTTTGTTTATATGAAGAGCCACCCAGATGACCCTCTTAAATAGCAATGAATCATTCTGCTTGAGACTCGTGTTCTTCATGGTGAAGGTCTGTTAGGCGGCAATGAACTGCTGCATTTCTGTTGTGCATTTCATGCATTTGACAGATGTTATCACAACAGAAGATGGTGCAGATCCTTCTGGTTGCTTATTATATCATTCTAAAAATCTTTTAGAGCTTTTTTAATGGTAGGCCTATTAATAGTTCATTTTAGAGCCAGATCTGCCCAGAGAACCCTTTTATGATCATTGTGTTGAGGCTAAATGATCTTTTGCTTTCTGTTCCTTGTGGAAAAGCGTTTCATGTTTGTCATGTTCATAAAGCGGCAGGATTGATGTATTAATAGAAGATGATGTGACATTTCTTCTGCTAGTTTATTGTATCAATCTTAAAGGATTGTCAAAAGCTTTGTTTATTTGGATAGTTGGATTTTTAGTCATATCTGAACCTTTTTGTACTGAAATGAATCATTGTGTTTGTGGCTGAAAGTCCTTTAGGCTCTTGCTCTGCATGGAAAAGCCTTGATACACGACCATGAACTGTTATCTGCTGCACATTTGTTGCGCATTTCATGCATTTGACCGATGATTACTTGTTTTAGCAATTGAAGATGGCACATTTTCCTCCTATCAATCTAAGAAGATTCTTAAAGCTCTTAATGGTATTAATAGTTCAGTTTAGTATCCAGATTAAATGGATCATCGTGTTAAAGGTTTCTGCACTAGACTCATGTTCTTTATGAAGTCTAAAATCAGGATTGTTTAGCACCAAAGTGAACGCAGTAACAATTGTTTAATTGAAGAATGTTTTAGCAACAGAACATGGTTCCGTGTGACTTGTTGGTGGTTCATTATATCACTCTGAAAGCTTGTTTTGTGATGTTAATAGATTTTATTTACCCAGAGAATCTTTTCGTGCTCAGATTTCATGCTCACAATGTGTTGGTGTTTGAAGGTTCTTGTTACAAGCTGAAGAAATCCAATCTAATGTCATTTAGAGGCACAGCTCAACCTTGTAAGAGATTTCGTTTCAAATTCCCTTGTTTTAGCTTGTCCAGAGCTCATGTGAAACTGTGTTGTTTCTCATTCTCTCCTCATCCAGATTTGGATTCATCTTTTGTAACTCATCCTGTATTATTATTAACCTGTGATCAGCATCAACCGCTGCACAATCAGAGCGACACACCGATGGCAGAATGACAAACAAACATCTGCAATCACCTAAACATGCTATAAAAACACTGTTTAATCAAGAACTGAAACAGAAAATATTGCTTATGATCAGTTTCCATGCATCAAATTACCATTACAACCATGTACTGTGGCATTGCTTTAAGATGTCCCACGGTACTAACTGACTATCATGATTAATGTACCATCGGGTACATACCATTATCGGTTGTTATATATCAAAGTTTAATGATGTATTTACAGCATGTTTGGTGATAACAGCTGCAGATGTAGACGTGCTCACCAGCGACCCTGTTTTGATGCGTACGGCGATACCAGTGCGTGTATCTTCACAGCATTACCCTCCGACCACGTCTAATCTCACTCAATTAAGCGTGAGTCAGCGGCTCATTGAAGGCAATGTGAGGCGCTGGTTTCAGCACCGCAGCTTGTGAACAGCTCCCGTGAATCTCACGGCAGTACTGAGACACAGATGCATCAGCAGGATGCAGGATTACACTCAGTTCACATATAAAACTCTGAGATTAGGTCAAAAAATGAAAAGCAAGATCATTTATAGTTAAACAAAGATGCACAAACATCATAATTGTTAAGTTGCGGTCATTTTGACCTGGAGAGGATTTTCTTTTTCTTTAAAAAAGCTAGTTAATGTTATTGCATTGGACTAAAATTTACTGACTTTGCTCACACAGGGTATCATAACTTCCCAAAAAAATTAAAATTTTTGTGCTTTTTTAATTTTTTTTACCCTCCGACCACGTCTAATCTCACTCAATTAAGCGTGAGTCAGCGGCTCATTGAAGGCAATGTGAGGCGCTGGTTTCAGCACCGCAGCTTGTGAACAGCTCCCGTGAATCTCACGGCAGTACTGAGACACAGATGCATCAGCAGGATGCAGGATTACACTCAGTTCACATATAAAACTCTGAGATTAGGTCAAAAAATGAAAAGCAAGATCATTTATAGTTAAACAAAGATGCACAAACATCATAATTGTTAAGTTACGGTCATTTTGACCTGGAGAGGATTTTCTTTTTCTTTAAAAAAGCTATGTTATTGCATTGGACTAAAACTTACTGACTTTGCTCACACAGGGTATCATAACTTCCCCAAAAAATTAAAATTTTTGTGCTTTTTTAATTTTTTTTATTTCCCACCTTGTGGTGTTTCTGGTCAAAAATGACTGGCATACAAAATTGCTTATGCATTTCTTGTTATGCTATATATATTATTACCATTTTTTTATCAACTTGTTTTCTTTCAATTAGCACATGTTTTGTATTTCGTTTTGGAACTGATTGATCGTAGGCCTCATTAGTCTTTGAGTGATTATTGCCAAAATTATTCACAAATAATGCTTTTTTTCACAAAAAAACGGAGGCTTAAATCACAACTGTTTATAGCAGTACTATATTACACATTTTTTGTGATTTAAAAAAAAAATGTTAAAACATCTAAAAAATACCACCTCAAACAGCCCAAAACAGCAACATGGACACTTAATGGTGTTCTTAATTCTCTTAATTATTGGTGAAATAATTAATAAATGAATAGTGCATATTAAACTTATATTAATATGTTATTTTCTTATCATTCAGGTCTCTAATATAATGACTTTGTCTTTGTTTATTTGCCATGTTCACAGTCTTTCTAATGAAAACCAACCAATCATATTGTCTTTTTGCCATCTTTATTTATCTGTTTGTCTTCACAGCTAAAAATGAATCATTTTTTCCCCGTTTCTCCATATGTGCAGTCTTTTCCTTCCTATCTGATGTACTGTACTTGTTTCTCTTTATCTGGTTAACTCTTTATCATAATTATATTTAATTAAACAATGGACTCATTAGTCAATGTTATCATGAATCCTGAGTATCTGGATTATATCTGGTCAAATTAGCAGTTGTGTGGGTGTAGATACAGGATTCATTTTTTCATGGTTCCTCCAAAGCTTTCTTTCCATGCCATAAAAATGATATACGTAATGCTATATTTTAAGCTAGAAACCCAAGTGTTGATTTGGCAGTAGGAACAGGACTGTAGTCAATAATAAGGTGTTTTTGAAATGTTCTGAAATTCTGCACTCTTGTAGTTTAGCTGCAGATGTGTCTAAACCGCTGCGTTTCCGTGTCGTGTATGAGAATGAAACACGCTGGCAGAAAACTGCAGAGTAGTATCCCCCAATTGTAAGTCGCTTTGGATAAAAGCGTCTGCTAAATGACTAAATGTAAATGTAAATGTAAATGTGTTTGAAATGTTCTGAAATTCTGCACTCTTGTATTTTAGCTGCAGATGTGTCTAAACCGCTGCGTTTCCGTGTCGTGTATGAGAATGAAACACGCTGGCAGAAAACTGCAGAGTAACACGCTCAAGTCAGCAAAAACTGCTAATCATAGTAGACAGTTTGGAAACCAGAGAGGGTGAGTTAAATAAATAAATGACTCAAAACTGCCGCTGTCACGATGTTTTAGAGGTGCTGATGTTCACCAAATAACAGCAGTAAAGTCAAACGATGTGAGTACTTCACAAAGAAAATGCAATTGAAGCTATCGTGCACTGTAAAAAAAATAAACAAAATTGAAATTTATGGTAAAAAAACAAAAATGGTAGCTGTGGTTGCCAGAACCTTAACATGAAAAATATGATTTATGAAATAAATAATATGAAATATGACATTTTAAGTGTTGTAGATTGAAATTTTATTTAAATTTTAAAAATGTATATTGCATTAACTGTAATAGTTAATGTACCAAATTATTAAAATGTGCTTTGTATCTTTTATAATATACTAACAGTTAGCTTTCCCACAAGCTGAAACACTAATATATAGAAGGTGCACCGTGTCGTGCAAAACACCATAAAATAATGCAATAAGCATTAGATTAATAACATAAAATGTAACATTGTAAAAACCCTAACGTACATAACTGATAAGAAAAACATAAGAAGAAACTGTTATTTCAATGAAAAACAATCCAAATGTAAGCTGTCACATAAGGAATGTTATGGTTTTGTTTTTTTTCGCAAAACAG